TCTTTTTAATTGTTGGCTTAAAATCCAATGTTGAACACGGAGTTGTGGGGCACCTGCAGAAACCATCGTTTGAATTTTTTTCCTGTTTGATACGTCACATGTAGTCCTTTTTGTCCGCATTGCAAAGAAAGCCAACGAAATATGAAAAAGTCACATGGTTGAGTGCTGGTGCTCCACTATCCTGCTGCTCTAAAGTGTGTGATCGTTGGACAAGGTCACAAGCAGCGCTACTGCTGTAGCAGCAGAGTGATCTAATGTTGTCCGACATCAGGTGCTCCACCTTTAGATGATGGCACAAATACATGCTGCTGGCTGAGCATAGCTGAGGAGATAAGGCATCCAAGGCCAGACACCTTAGCAATTAATCTTCAAGGTCAAAAGCACGTGCAAGATCATTTCTTGAGGTTTGTAGTGGGAGTAGTAAAGCTATCACACTAATGCAGCATGCGGGATGTAACAAATACAATTCAGTCACCGTTTTCTGAAAGTGCTTTACAACTCTGCGTATTATACTGTGGGTCTTCAGTAAATGATGAAAAAGTCTGTTAATTGAAAAGAGATACGGCTTGAGTAGCTTAAGCTAGTGCATTCAGTTCAATTCGTTTTGTTGTACTTTTAACTTTTTAGCCCTGGCTCAAGTAATGGGGGTCAACTTGTACGTGATGATTGGTGTCACATGACATTTGTATAAATATTATTTTCCTGTTACACTTACATTGGCTCTCTGAAGCGACTTTTTAAGGACAGAAACCACCTAATCTTGGTGAGCCACATCGTCTACAGTTTTCGGCCGGCTGTGTGAAAAAAAGGAAAAGTAAGTGAATGTCAGACACTGTTACACACAATAAACACTAAAAGGTACAATGAACACCCAAAAAATGCTTACTATTTTTCCACCCACGAAATATGCACTGGTTTCTTCTGAACCTATTTGGGTTCCTTAGTTTTCTCCTTGGGAAGAGTTAAGTTTGGGTTGGCCGTTTTCAAAAAAGCATGCATTATTGGTTTCGACGCCTGCGTAAAACGAAGTGCAACGCTCAATTAATTGATTGATTGTTATGTGGGGTTTAACGTCCCAAAAACACCATATGATCATGAGAGACGCCGTAGAGGAGGGCTCTGGAAATTTCGACCACCTGAGGTTATTTAACGTGCACCCAAATCTGAGCACACGGGCATACAGCATTTCCGCCTCCATAGAAAATGTAGCCGCCGCAGCCGAGATTCGATCCCGAGACCTGCGGGTCAGCAGTCGGGTATCTCAGCCACTAGACCACCTCGGCGGGGCAACACTCAATTACCTTTTGAAGCTCAATTAACGTCTGGTGTTGCACATGAGCGAATTCGTCGCACACCTCTACACCGCACAAGACACTACGGGGCTGCGTCACGGAAGTTAATTCGCCACAGCGAAGCCAGTGGCGAATTAACTTCCGTGACTGGTAGGTGTTTTGTGAGCCAGTCTCGTCTTCTTCGCACTTGTTTAACGCACAGTGACCCCGCATTGATGAATGAATGAATGAAGCTCGAAGGCAGCGGGCGAAAGGACCATGCAAAACGTCAACTCACCGTATGTAATCAGCGCAATGAGTCCAACCAACCCTGCGCAATTTTTCGCGCGCAGGTTGCGATGATGGGAGAAAGCGGCAATCAGCGCCGAATGCGAAAATGTAGAATATATTCAGATGTCATACATAGCATCAAGCAGAGCACAATTAACAAAAAAAAACTTAAAACACAGCTCAGTAAGGTATATGTGAAAGTTTAAGAAGACGTCGACTGTTTTGACTGCATTTAATACTTTAAGCGCTTTAAGTCGTTTTTAGTCTCAGCTGTGATTGTCAGGTGGCGCAGAATTCAAAGATAGTTGCATCATGAAGAAGCACGAAATTCGCGTAAATTCCCGCGGCGGCCTAAGGCGCAAAGGCTGGTGGGACGAAGAAGTACAACGGGCCCTTATTGCAAGACGAACGGCGAATTGCCTACATAGAGCGGCTGTTAGGACATCACCCGGAGAGGAGTGCATGAGTACCTGGGAGGAATACCTCCGCCTCAAATGAGAGATGCGGATCCTCGTACAAAGCAAAATAGCTCAGTACAATAGCAAACAATTGCGAGCTATCACAGAGGCAGGGCGTAAAGGTGCAAACAAATTTTGGAAATATGTGTCTTCGTTAGATCGCCAAACTCCGGCACCTGAAATTCGACACCACTCTAGCAACCTACCCTCGCAGCGCACCTCACGGCCCACATGCAAGAGCTCTTCAATCCCACACATGACGAATCGACCTCAGCAGTAAACGGCGACCCGGATGAGCCTCACCAGCCAAGTGAAGAGGACCAGTGGCAGATAACGAGGATCGCTCTTGAGCGTGCACTCCCGCGTATCAGTGCAAGCACTGCTACCGGACTGGACGGCATACCAGCGGGCCTTGTGAAATGCTTGGGGAAGTCTGCTCGAGAACACCTCGCGGGAATTTTCAATACCCTCCTCAAGAACGGCCCAATCCCACCGGACTGGCAATGCGGCAGAGTAAGCCTCGTGTGCAAGAGAGGAGGCGACGCTGGACTGCTGGGCGACTATAGACCAATCACGGTGACGAGCGTCCTATATAGACTCTTCGCTCAAGTCTTGAAGGTGTGGATGAGCGGCTGGGCGGAGAAGAGGGGCATACTGTCGGAACTCCAGAATGGCTTCCGACGGAACCGACGCTTGGAAGACAATCTTTTCGTGCTCACCCAGACCATCGAGGTGGCACGGAGAGAAACCAGAGGTCTGCTTGGATGCTTTCTGGATGTCGCCAAGGCTTATGATAGTGTGCCACACGAGGAGTTTTTCCACCAGTTAGACCAACGACAAATGCCGAGCGTGTGGACAGACTTTCTCCGGCGGCTCTATGCAGATAGCTCGGTGGTAGCATGCTTCAGAGGCACCAGAACACAGCCTGTGAGAGTGACAAGAGGACTCAGGCAGGGCTGCCCTTTGTCTCCGCTGCTATACATGCTATATGTGGCGGGACTCGAGCAGGCACTCGTGGAATCGGGAGTTGGCTTCGCGTTCCGCCTCATGATTGGTGGGGTGGCGCAGACATGAACGCTGCTCGGCTTGGTGTTCCCGGATGATTTAGTATTACTGGCTGAGCGCAGCAGTGACCTTCAGAGGTTGGTAACACTGGCGGCCGACCACCTGAAGAGTCTGGGCCTTCACTTCAATGCCAAAAAATCGGCCTTATTGCAGTTTTCAGGCGTGGAGACCATTGATGTGCAGCTTCCCAATGGAGGAAGCATTCCGGTATCAAACCAGTACCGGTATCTCGGTGTCAACCTTTGCACCTCCGCAGATATCTATGACAAGCAAGAGGAGCACGTTCGACAGGCTTCTGTGAGGGCCGCCAACGTGCTGCGACGGCAAAGTCTGTGGGGGTGCAACCGGTTTGTACTGGTGCGCGAACTGTGGAAGGCAGTACATGTGCCAGTGCTGACATTCGCCAACGCCGTCATCTGCCTGTCTGCAGCAACACGCCAGTGGTTGGAAAGAGGTCAACGTGAGGTCGGGCGACTGGCGTGTCATGGACGTGTGGCTGTCGAAGCTATACAGGGCGACCTCGGATGGTCAAGTTACGAGGCACGCGAGGCAAGGAGCAAGGCCGCCTACGAAGGACGTCTTCGCCCCATGAACGACCAGCGGTGGGCCCGTCGTGTATTTAGATACACAGCTATCAAGGGCATGAACACACCATGGCGCAGGCGTCTCCACAATCTGTGCCGCAAGTACTCCCGTTTTACTGACCCTGTCCAGGAGGACAGTGAGAGGAAATGGGCAGTAGGAGTACGGAATAGAGTGCAGGAAGCTGAGACGTCGATGTGGCAGGCGGCTATGGAGAAGAAACCCAGCCTGGCCCTATACAGAGCTCACAAGACCACCATCTCCGCCGAACGATTATACGACAATAATGTCGGCAGTGCGCTTCTGTTTGAGGCCGGTGCTGGAGCGCTCCGTACTCGGGTGTATTGCCGTCACTTCGACCCGTCGTTGGCCGACGGCACTGTGCAGTGCAGGACATGCGGGAAAGACGAGGAGAACATTGAACACCTGGTGCTTCACTGCGAATGTCTGTGTCCCCGTCAGACAGATGGCGCCACACTACCGGAGGCACTTGGCTTTGTGAAAGACTGCGGTAGAGTGTACTAGAAGGAACTTCTAGTACACTCTAGGTCCGTTCGATTCGCCTGCACCACGTGAACCAGTTCACGAGGTGCTGCACCTTGCCATTCGTTTCAGCGGTGCAGCAATGACGACCGCTGAATCCTGCCATTCGTTTCGAAAGGTGCAGGATAGGTGCAGCACCGGTTCATGATTTTCCTGCACCTCCTTCGCTGACGGTGCCGGCTTGGTGCAGGCGCGCGTGCAGCTGAGCAGACGACGCAGCACTTAGACGTAGGTGGCTTAGGCGCCGTACCCGCCTCTACAAATGCGGTGTGTTTTGCCAAGATGTTTGCGCCTCATAAACTGTCCGCATGTTCGATTTGCCATCGGTCAGTGTTTGCTGAACGGTGTAAATTAAGCGAAAAGAAATAAGGCCTGCACCTTGTCGGCACATCGTCATTCGTTTCGGGTGTCGTGCTGTGCCTGCACCGCTGAACTTACGCTGCACAATTTCTGAACTTCGCGTGCACAGCCGTGAATTGGTTCCGACCGGTGCAGGTGAATCGAACGGACCTTCTAACTGCGGCGCACCGGGAGGCGACAGCCGCGATACCAACGTGCACCCCCTGGCAGCGACAGCAATAACCAAAGCAAGGCTTCTACAGTGGTGGTCAAGGAGACAGTGAACAATTGTGATGTTCATGGACCTGGTGTGATTTTTCTTTCCTTTTTTTTTCTCGTTCCGGTCAGGACACTAAAAGGTGCCCCCCCCCCCCCCCCGGTATAAAGGGGAAGACCACAGAGATCATCATCATCATCATCGTTGCTTTCAAGCCGTAAAAAGTTGCTACAAGAACACAGTCATTTCTACGGTTAAATTTGAGTTTTGATTGGTAATTAAGAGTGTAAAAAAATGGGGGATCAAGACAGAGACGTTGACTGCTCCAACGCGGCCCGAGGCGTGTGGCTCGTAAAGGTATTTTAGTTGGTTTGTTGACCCGATCAAATGTTGACTAAAACACCTATTCCTGCTCTTACACTTCAGGTGCCGAAATACATCGCTTCTAGATGGAGCAAAGCACCCCCTTTATTTGAGGCTGGGCGGCTGAAAATCACGAAGTGAGTCTAAATGCAAAGCGTGCGCCTTGTCAAAGTTGCGAAATTTCGCTGGGCGAGGAATGATGCTGCTTCTAAAGTAAATGCTCTCAAGCAGTGGCTATGGGATTAAGCTTGCTGCCATGCTGAGGTGACCTTCAGCGCGTAAATACATCATAATCATAACTGCTCAGTGCCGAATAACGAGGCCATACGAAAAGAGCAGACGGACGAGCGGTTTCTGATGACTTACGAACGCGTCCAAGCTTCCGTGTTTCTGCGTCAACATAGGTTACTGTAGCAAGTGGGATTTACAGTACGATGCGGGACTTTTTAACAGCGATGATGTTTAGCAAATTTTTCCTTGTATTCCGTACCAAAAAAAAAAAAAAAATCGGCAGATCCCACGTACCTTGGGAATTGATGCTAAGCATGCGGAGAGAAAATGACTGTCGCAATTTTTATGTTGAGTGAAATGCTATGAAATGACGCTGAAGATATGTACCAATTTTTTTACGCACAGACGTATGCTAAACAGTCGCTTGTTTACTGTTGCGTAACGATGTCAACAACAACAAAATGGGTATTGGCAATACCAGAAGCGGTATGTTGCACTTGTGCCAGTGAAGATAGCGGCCCTAGATACAGCTAGATGAATGAACTTCAGTGAATGGCGCTTCACTACAGTTGTCGTTAACTGGACGTGACGGCTGTATGATAGGAGTTCGTATGTGCCGTTTGATAGCCAGCACTGCTACCACGATTGGCATTTCACTAACATCACAGTCTACTTGAAAAGCAGTTTCGAGATCTGGCGTGACCTTTAATAGAATACTTGATTGCTAAGCAGAATGCTGGGGCTCTGGTGATCACCCTCTTAACTTGGGGTACACCAAATTTGTACAGGAAAGTAAGATATGGCGACAAATATGACGCGAATCTGGTCACGTACGCCATCAAACGCTTTCCAGAAAACAGTGGTACATACCCAGGGGTGGGTATGTGCCACCAGTATGCGGGTATGTGCCACTGGTTATTGACATTTTATATCTACCCAGTAATGGCGAAAACACACATGGGTAACTTTAACATTTGAGCTTTAAGAAAAAGCTGATATAGGTAGCGTTGACAGGATGAATGCATAGAATAAATGTCAGTATCCCAGCAGGAATCAAACCCTAGCATTCTGCGTGGCAATCAAGTATTCTACCAAAGAGCCACACCATGTCTTGAAAATACTTTGCCAATAGACTGTAATGTTCATGAAATGTCAACTATGGTTGCAGTACTGGCTACCAAGTTGTATGAACATTACATATGTACTCCTATAATACAGCCGTCATATATCGGGTTAACGTCAATTGTAGTTAGGCGCCATCAATTGAGGTTGACTTGTGCAGCAGTGTCGAGGGCTACCATCCTCGGGAACTGCAGCGCAAACACCAGCATTTCACATCAGCTTATCACTTCTGGTGTTGCTAATATCCACATTGCTGTTGGCATCATTATGCAACTGCTAATATAAAACAGATCTGGCTGTTTAACGTGTGTGTGTGCATTTGTGCATACATTGAACACCACTTCATAATGTCTCACTCACTAAAAAATAAAAATACAACACAATCATCTTGCATCTGCATGCTTCACATAACATCAATTCCCAAGATACGTGGGATTTGCCGAATATTTAGAGACCTTGTTTCTCAGAAATGCCAGCATTGGTGCCGTTGGTTGTGAGCATAAATTTATGATCTTTGCAAGACTGAAAAATTGAGCATCCTTGCGTGACCAAAAAATCGAGAAAGATGCAAATAAAATAAATAATAAAAAGCTCTAGGTCTGAGTGGGCATCGAATCCGGGTCGTTTGCATGGCATGCGGGTGTTCTGCCTCGCAGCCACGCCTCTCCTTGAGAATGCAGTGGAAATAACTTCCTCTGCTTATAAATTTAGTGAATGTAACTTTCACGCTTTACAAACACATACATCCTGTAAACATGCTTCACAATACAACATGAAATGCTGCTGTGATAATGCGTGTTACAAACGTGAATTACCATCAGGGATTAAAACGTGAGATTATCATAACGACTTCATAGTTGAAAGCCAGTCACCCACTACAAAAGGCACACACGTTACTACATCCTTAAGGCCATGTTCGAAAAAATTTCATACACTTAGTGTTTGAAGTACGCACTACGAGCAGAATATCGCTATTGCATTCAACTTCTAAAGACGAAGCTTAGGGGCCCCAATTTTTCATGTGATGACCAGCGTGTTGTAATCCTCACACTATCTTACCCTCCCATACTAGATAGATAAATAGATCTATAGATAAGATAGGTACATAGATAGATGCCAAAAGTGCTTGAAGTGTGCAAAGAAATGCTTCGCATTTAAAGAAGCTACCATCATAAGCAGGTATGTGCCACAGAAATTGGGTAAATCCCACTACGCACAACTTTCACTGAAAAAAAAAAAAGAAGGCAACAGCTAGCCGAATAAATGGCTGCAAATCGGTAGTGATGAGCCAAAGAGCCTGAGTACTTACACGAGGATACTAGGAAACGGGACTGGCAACACCAGCTGTGAGAAGACCCCGGAGCAATAGAATAGAAGCCGATGACAACGTGCCTTTGTTTGTACCTGTGTGCTCAGACCTTTTTGGACTGAGAATCAGTGTAGAAATAAACCGAGAATCACTTAGCTGAAACCGAGCAATGACCTAAAAGCAACCAAAATAGTCTTCAGAATCATCCACTTTCGCTGCTTCACAACTTGTGTGGCTTAATGCAAGCTGTGCTTTTTTTTTTTTTTTGAGAAGATTGGGGTGTGTCTCCAAGAGATTTCTCAGGCAGGAGGCAAGTCGGACAAAATGTCGTCTAAACATTGATGACTATCTCGGACCCTTGACTTCATCATGCCTAGGGAGTCTTTATATGTTTTTTTTTTTCACTAGCCTTATTTTCATTCATAGTACACAATCAGGCTGCATTCAATCGTGAGACGTACGTGTTTAAAATACACTAGAACCCATTGCTGGTGAGCAACAATATGCATGATTCTATCGGAGAGCACTTTGAGCTCTAATCGAATTCAGTAGACATATGATTTACCAAAGTAAAAACCACAGCATACCCACAAAGTGAATGATAATGAGTGGGCGAAGCTCCTACAAATAATTCGGGCAACCGCGAATCCCTCATACAATGCCCACTCAAACATACAAATGAGTGACAGTATAGTATATATAATGTATGCAATGTTGTCTGTATAGTATATGCAATGTTGTTTTATTGGTCATACATAGTATTGAGGGGCAGACTTTGTTTTTCCTTCATTAAAACTGCGTTTTGGCCAGTGAAATAAAGGGACAAGGCTTCGTAGGTGGGATGTAATCTGAAGTTTGTAAAGACGAGGCCTATACAAGTCCCCCTCGTGACTGTTTACAGTCATATGAAATGCATCTCAGAGCATATCGCCATGACATATACTGCACAAACCAGTCGTCATTCATGATATCTAAATTAATGTCACCAGTCAATATTAAGGGATCGTTCTTGTATTTTGTATCATAGTCTGTGGGATCTTGCTGTGTAAAACGCTATGCTCTTGGAATGAGCGAACACAGTAGACACGGTCGGGACGAACCAAAACAACACACACATTTATTTTTAACTACCTTTAAATTGATGATATTGTCAGTCAACTAATTATACATCAATTGTAATCAACACGTTAAAACAACATTACATAGTATTACACAACGCTCAAAAACATCACAAACACAAGAACACACTCAAGGCGGCTTCGCCAACGCTTGATACCACGAGGGCCCCCGGCGCGCAACCTGCAGTGCCGCGCACCGAGAATTCACTGCTAGCTACAAAAAACCGTTCACGCCAATTGCCATCCACCAAAGAGACCCTCTCATCTCTCCCGTACCGCCACTAAGGCTTGCCGCCAGGCATCACTGCCAGCACCACCGTTCTAACCATGATGATATTGGTGGTGATAAATGCTTGCGAGGACAACGCCACCTACCGTTCAATAGTTGTCACTCCTGAATGCGGCTTATGCACAAGACATGTGCACCATGAGGCGCAAACAACTTTACAGGGGGTGTTAGCACCCCCACAAGTCTCGCATTGCTATATCGATGTACTTTGCTAGGCTGCCTCAGGAGAGGTTCGGGGCCAGGTACATTGACGTCAAAATGGTTCCATTTGATAGTGTTATTGCAGCATGTTTGCCATTGTGACTATGACTGGTCATTGGTAGCTTGAGATCCACCACAATCTCACTCATTCGTGTGTTCAAGTGGACAAAGTGCACATAATGCTCTCCAGATGTGTAGCGGATGCCTCACTTATCAGCAGAATGATGAATAGCATAGTGGGTGCTTCATCGTCATTGTCATGGCATATAGTGGGTACCTTGAATGCGCTGTGCCACAAAGAGAATGTGTGGTCTGAAGCACACCTGTTCTTCATCATCGTCGTCGTCGAGGGACGACGGTGGATGTGGGTCGGCCCTAAGGAGCTTAACCCCTAAAAAAAAAAGACGGCTTGTTTGCCCTATGTCAACGTGTACGTTTTACAATTTGCAGAGTAACTTTTAATTCAAGAGCATTACTTGGCTCATTTTCTGATGCCGCCACCACGAGAAAGATGGCTTGAAGATTACGTCGTTAAACTAGAAAAATAAAAGTGGCTGCTGCCATTATTCAAGCCTTTTCCTCATTGTCACTACGACTGCTCTAGCTCTATAGCTGAGCACACTTTGCCACTAATGCATCACGCCACCATTGCAACAGGTGAGAGTGACGCACATCTTCAAGGCTATGAACATGATTAAACTCTGCCAGGGGGGCGGGGAATTCAATATCACATGATAGGTGTGGCACCACTGTCTGAGCTGTGGAGCCTTTATTGTCTGAAGTTGAATGGCTCGCATCTACATTGTAGGGAAAGACCGCAGAACAGAGTCAGAGATTCCAGTTTCTTGCTAGTAAAGTACATGCAAGTACATTCCATATGTCACAATGCAGTAACATGTGGAAAACGAGCTGTGGCATCAAAACAATGTTGTCTGCCTAAGTCCTGTCATTCTAGTCATTCAGAGCATTGTTACCATGCATGCGCGATAGAGTGAGTTGGTGATACTTGTCATTGATGTAGAAAGGACACAAACATGTGGTACACAGTACTGTTTCCATGACAGTTTTTTAAGTGCGGAGCACTCAAGAGGCACATACTGTCGTGTGCTGTTGTAGCTTGGTATAACACAAGAGAAACCTCATATTGTACAATCCTGAGCAAGCCTCTCCCCCTCCCTTTCTAGCGAAGGATAATGTGACAATATACAAGGGGGGGGGGGGGTTGCTTTCTAGGTCATGGATCGAAATTCAAGATGGTGGCAGAAAATTGGGTAAAAATAAAGAATGCACCCTTGTGTTACTATTGCAATGCTTGTTTAAATAGGCACGCATGAGATAAGCTATGGGTGCACATTTGAATTCTCATGGACAAGCGATAGGGGGCGCTCTTGGGATTTTATGGTATAGCATGGCCATTCAAGGGCGTGCTCACATCAAAGAGCAGCCTTCTTCCTCTTTTTCTTCAAGTGTATTGGTGATGACAGAATTAAACAGAAAAAAAAAATTGAAAAAGAAACGAGTGAAAAAGAAAGAAAAAGAAGAGAGGGAAAAAACGAAAAACCAAAGAGAAAGAAAAAAGGCTGCCCAACTCCGCTCTTTCTACAAGCATATTATGCTTCCAGCTTCGCACTGTTAGCAAGTTGCCTTAATTTGTTTTTTCTGCATTCTTATTAGGCTGTGCTTATTTACTCTATCATGGATGATAACCGACGAGCCCACCAACGTCATCATGTGATTGTGTTTGTTATATTATTGTCACTACGTCATTGTTATTTCATTGTCACCATTCATTTGTAGTCTCGTGTGGGATTCTCAAGCTCGAGTGCCTCAAGATCATATTGAGCTAGACATTTCCTGGTAAATATATTGAGAGTGTTTGCACTCTATACTTGCGATTATTCTCAGAACAAGAACACATTCTCTGCATTATTTGTAAAAGTTTTGCCTAAGCATATTCCTACAGTTCATAGGATCCACTAATGACTCTAATGATATTAAAATGATAATGATAATAATGACTTTAATTATATTCAAATGCACAAATTTTAATAACAAACTCTTTGTTCTAATTTTAGGGGAGCAAACGGCGAATCAGATATTCGCTTCACACTAAGCGATGAATGTGTCAACATGAAAGACCCAGCAGACAAGTCATCTATACCAAAAGAACATCATTTCATCATCTCCAACATAGCCAACCAGAACTTAGCCGTTTTCGCACAGAACAAAGGTTTGTCTAAAGCATCAAAAACTGTTTTCAGCAAGCATGTAATTTTTATGTAAGCAAATAACAGTCGGAACTTGATCTAATTAAGTGATGAGGACGCTCAAATTATTTTGGTAAATCTGGAAAATCAAGAAAGGCTCTCTAAAATCTAAAATTGTAAAGTAGTGACAGCCAAAAGCTACCAGGTTATTGTTCTTGCCACCAATCTACTCCTGTGCATGTGAAAAGTCCGTGACGGTTTAGGACGGTAGTCCCGATATGGAGCCTTCAATGTCACCCAGTCCTAGTTGCATGGTTCAGGTGATGCAGATTAGAATGAGGGTTATGTGGAGTAATGATGGTTGTATGATGCACGGAGAACGAGGGAAGTGATGTGTGAGCAGGCTGTGTGAGAAAGTGGCAAGAGGCGATTAGTGCCATGATATGCCATAAGGCTAACCACTACTGCTATTAACACCATCTGGTATGTTAGAGCGCTACCAACTGTTGAGTCTATTGCACCATACATGCTCACAATGTGCTGCCTTGTCAAGCTGAAGCTGTAGGGTCATGGTAGGGTGCTTAGACGTTTTAACATGATATTGTTAGAGTGCACTCTTGTAAAAAAGGCAGTCTCTGCAAAATTTGGTGGAAATTACAACTTTTTTAGTAAGTTATTTTTTTTAAAACTTCTCTAAATTGGGTTTAGTGACTAAGTTGGTGTCGTTGATTTGGTTAGCGATAATACTGAGCTCTGTGGGCGTTTGGGGGCGATCGAGATTTCTTCATTAGACTGGGGACTGAAATCAGCTTTCATTAGATTGAGTTTGAAGTGTAGCTCACTCAAGTAATTTTAAACATCGTCTTACCAGGTTGAGTTATTCTAAACATCTGAGCGCAGTGTGTGTATACCACATTGGGGCAGTCAATTATTTGATATGTAAAATGGCGGCAGTGAAAACAATTGAAGTTTCAGACATATTTCGCATTTCGAGAGAGTGAAAGTTGTACATATGCAAACACAGGCACTGTTGCAACGTCATGACTGTGGTCCTCTACAAGAGTGCTGTATGTCACCACTAAAGATGTGGCACAAAGCAAAATAGGAAAGAAGTGGGAGGGATAGGTTGTCACAGGCTGTGGCATTTTTTCATGGCTCCTGCATATGAACAAAAATACAAGGAAGGTGTCCCACCTATGAATGCTAGCTAGGACAGAGGAGCACAGTTTGGTTCTATTCTTCTCAATTAACTGTTAGGAGCTCCGTTAAGCAGAGCATAAACCCATGTTTATTTACAAGTAAAGATGGCTCCAACAAGTGCCGCGAGAAAGTTGTGAGAAAATGTCAGCCCGCATTGGTGCTTAGCGAGGCAGTGACTTAAGAAACAAACTTGTTGGCTTGAAGACCAGCTGTATAAAGTTATCTTGCTAGGAGAAGGAAGAAAAAACTTGATTGGGTCGCCTTTGATATTGCGTCTATGGCTTAGCTCAGGGGTCTCAAGCACGCAGCCCGCATACCTTTTGGTAGCGGCCCACGGCTTCACAAAAAATAAACTTCTATTGTAATTGCAATATTTTCTTGCCAGTTGTGATAAATAGTGCTTTGTCTGGCTAATCTTCAGATACAAGTTTGGTCTCGAGCATTTTCTTTATTTTTTCATTTGGCACCCCATGCAGCAGTCACAATGTGTTAAAACATAACAGTGTAACAAAATTTCTTTATTTCACAATCGGTGACCAGGTTTTGGCCATTCTGGAGATCGGTATTGGTATCTTTCTAGAATGGTGATACCAAATCTCCTTCATAAATGACCAATATTTTAGACATGTTAATTGGTCTCTCTAGGTGGTGTAGTGGTAACGGTGCTCAACTGCTCACCCAAAACTCACCGGTTCGATACCAGCCGCTGGTTGCATTTTGATGGAGACAACATGCTAGAGACTTATGCGCTGTGCGATGTCAGTGCATGTTAAAGAACAACAGACGGTCAAATTTTCTGGAGCGCTCCGCTGTGGCATTCCTTATGATCCTATTGTTGTTTCGGGATGTAAAACTCCAGATATCATAGTTTAGATATGGGGAAGACGTTCTTTCATATGTAGCGTTAGGTGACATTTAGTTAACCTTTCCCTGCTTCAACCTTCATCACCGTTCCGGTGTTCTGGCTCTTACAGGACTAAACTTCACGATTGTGGCCAGCTAGATGAAGTGAGTCTGAGACTTCTTACCTAGCTCTGGTCTATGGAAAATTCATCTATAAGAGGGAAAAAAAATAAAAGACAAAATGTCACCTTTTGTTCGATCAGTCATTTTTTTTAGATATGCTTTCAGTGCATATTATTTGCCTGAGTGAGTGTTTGAGTACCCATTGCACCATTGATAAGCCTTCCACCACATGCATTTCACAAATACTACTAAGTATCCTTGAATTGGATCAGCTGTGATTGTGGTTGCTGATTTTGGTTAACACCTGGCTTTTGTTATTGCCAAATTGAGAGAAGTGTTCGTGCAGGTCCTCAACATACACACTCCTTTCTTCCTTCAAATCAGATGCTTACAATGTTTCTGTGAAAAAGCTGTATCTTACTTGTTTTTGTTTCAGTGGCGGAAGATGGTACAGAGCATTCCTCTGGTAAGTGTCCATTATTATAACGTTAATTTCTAAATGCCACATCAGTTCTATCGTTTACATAGAAATGTTGTTTGTTTTCATGCACTTCAATTCATTGTTTCATTACAATGGCTATGGCACAGTGGTTAGGGTGTTTAGCTGCTGAGCAAAATGGCACATATTCAGTCCCGGTGACGGTGGTCGCGAACAAGTGGAGCACGAAGTTGCTGTTCTGTCAGGCACCCTCTGTTCATACAGAAGCCCAGTTTCACTTGCTTCAGAGGCGCCAGTGCCCACTGTTTGATGGAGAACAGCACCTAGCATGCTGTTGGTCAATAGCCAGCATGAATCGGGAGCAGCGTTTGAATTAGCTGCGCTTCTTGCCACAAGGCGCTTCCATGTGTTGGCGCTGCGCTCCACAGTCTGCTAACACTACAGAGTGAGCCACACTCTCATGCAGGAATCACAAGGAAAGATAGTGATGGTGTTCCACCCCGCCTGTTCAGGGTCATTATGCGCTCTAAAATAACTTGCCCCCTCCTTGCCCCCCCCCCCTCTGTATAACTTCCAGCATGCTTGTTGTGTGGCAGGGGAAGAGAGAAAGAGCTTGTCACGTGCTGCTGTAATATTCTCTACCCCCCCACTTTTCTTGTAACTCCGCTCGTTCTTGATGGATTTTTGCTGCAATCAATTTGTAATGCAGGTGTTCATTCATAGCTATTTACTATAACACTGGGTGTTATAAACTGTGTCTGGAAGGCATTGCGATGAACTCTTCCTTCGTTGTCTAGCAACCATCACCAACAAATATACGAAACAGCTGTTGGTGTTCCAGCACTATGTTATCACTGAGAGCACTGGTGACCAAACTGGACTTTAGTATGAGATGCCAGTTGCAAAACAGATGCAGTGAAATGGGTCAAAAGGTGCGTGCCTGTTATCAACAGCTGCACACGAGTGCATGACTGGCAGTGTCATGTTTGTGTTTCTTACTGTTTTGCTTGTGCCTACCAAGGAAAAGATAGTTTCTTGATAAGTGGTATCTATTCAAATGACAAAGTGATCATAAGCAAGGGCTAATCATGAAAGGAATAGCTGGAGATTATGTGGATGAAGTGATCAAGAGCAGACCTTAAGCTTCTGAACATGCCCACTGTGGACTCATTAAGAATCTTTATGCAATAGGGAAGCAAGCCACCTAGGATGCAGGAACTGTTTTGATCACCATGCCTGACAAATGTTGGATGTTACTGTCATCAAGCTATGTAAGGGCTCCATCGCTAGGTCTTACAAAATATGGCTTGCAATCGATGACACTACCGTGAAACTGATACCACAACGCAGGAAAGCTCCTCTAAGTTAATCTGTGACATGTGTTAAGCATGTGAGGACCTGCCAGTGAAAATAATCAGGACTGCATTTTCTCTCCAATGCTGTATATAGAATGCTCTCAATGACATTGAGAACGTGAGATATAGTAGACTACAACTATGAGCCATAGTAGTCGAGTGTAAGGTAAGTAAATGTGCGCGATGGGTGTAGTTGTCATGTCATTTTTATGAGGTAGGCCTGTGGCCGCTTCTGTGAAAGCAGGAAAACAGATTGACAACCGGTTATTTGAAGATACGCGAGCTGGTCGGGCAGCTGCATTATTTGTCAGTTACTTTGGCAATTCACACTATATTGTGTGTTATGGTCAGGCTTCAAAAGATTAAGCTATTCGATGTAAAGTCTTTTTTTCCTGTTTTTTCTCGGTGGGGTAATACGTAGGGGTAAGCTTATGTTTGTAATCAACCTATTCGGGAATAAACACGGTAGTTCCTGCTCAAAAAAGGTGGAGGGGAGGGGGGCTTTGGCAAATAAACTAAATAGACCTTAGCATGTGTGTCCATACTGTCTCTTTCCCGGCTGTTGGTGTTTGCTGCCTAGTGACAGTGCTATGTGTGTTTGTGTAATGTAACAGGTAAGGTTTACCTGGAAGGCCATGTTGTACAGAAAGGTGAATGCAGACCCCTGGGAGATGACCACTACATGCAACTGAAAAGGTACATCACAGGCTCTTCACCAGAACTTCAGTGCAAATGCCAACACATATTTTATTGAGATACTTGTAGAATAAATGCATCCAACACCATGCTTTTCTTTGTCAATGCAGCAAAAAAGTTAAGCTAGCATCGGGGATCCACTGTGACTGTGTTTTTAACCATTAGTGCATGAAAAAAAAAAGGTGCATGTTAATGTTTCGCTGACATAACACAACAGAACCTCATGTGCATAATTTTGTCTTCTGATAGTAGCTCCTTGCAAGTCTTGGCATGCTTCAGCGAAACTACATTTAAGACATAGTACAACAGCAAACAATGGGTACATGAGAGTGCTGGCTCAAAGTGGGAAGATAATTAACCTACCAGCGGTTGTGGCATCAGATAATGTTTGTACTTACAGTCGTAACCTACCGTGCAGGAGGTTGAAGAAATTGGATGTGGAAGAGTTTAATTGCCAGAAATTTCTGAAGTGCCTAGTTTTCATTACCTCTATGTGGCATGGATTGTTATGCCCCCACCCCCTCAGTCCCCCTCTTAAATTTTCTGTGGAGGACCCTGTTTGCAGTTACGGCATCACAGAGACAATACTGACCTACGCAGATGTTTCAGTTGTACAAATTTTTACACTGACAAACGGCCAACAACGTCACATATGATGGCTGCGGTCATTAGCAAATCCTCAGTTGTGGCTTGTGTGACTTCCCGCATTACAGTGGACGACCAGCTGCTATCTTGGGCAAAGCCAGGATTTTATTTCAGGACGGGCACAAACACGTCTATATGTACATGTTTGTATATGCACGTGTGTATGTGCATACGAATCGCAAAAAATTTTATGGGCAGGTTGGTCATATCCCATCCACTCCCTCAACATTTTTCCGGCTATGCCTACATCTCGATGCTTACATTAGACCATTAATTTCTAATTATTCTATGACAAACTGCTTTGCAAAGCCAGCCTCATGGTACTTTGTAGCAGACGGCATTGAAAACATTGCTATAATTAAGAACAGAAAAAGCGGCATGAGTGTCTTTATACTTGATTCAATATGGTGTTCAGTCATTACGCTGCACATGGTTCTTGTGAGTTGATGTGGACTTTGAAGAGTATGCTGCTAAGTGACTCTGGGTGATTGTAGTAGTGTACTTAGATTTAGGTGCACTATGAAAGAGCACAGCTGGTCGAAAATCATTCCAGAGTCCAATGAAAAAGCATGCCTTGTAATCATGCTGTGGTTCTGACAAGTCGAACCCCAGAATTTAGTGTTGATAATGTGTGATGATGTGCATGTGGCTTTTTCTCCTTCTGATCTCTGTATACCCCTTCCCTTTAATCATTACTCTGAACTGTTACCCAGTTTCGGGTAGTAGACAAAATTGTCTTTTTTTTTATCTTGACTTGGGAGTTTTTTGTTTTTTTTTCTTTTTCATTCGTCTCTCTTTCTCTCCCCTAATATATTTCATATGCATGGCCTATATTATGCAAATTCTGTACAAGAGGTCTTTCACATGTTTTCAGGCAAACTATTCTGAAGGCTAGCCAACATGTGCGTCAAGTGAAGCAGTTAAAACCGAATTGTGCAGAACTACAAGCCTGTTGGCGAACCATGCGTTCAATGTGAGTTTCATTTTAAGCTTGGCTGGTGAAACTGGTTTGGGCCAATGGTAAATCTTTAATATAGTGTGTTCCACTCCAATAATGACCTGTAATGTAAACAATAGATGGCCAATGTAGTAGTTTTGATACAGTGGTTATGCACATTGAGGTGCATTGTCAGGCTTAGAGTAGCCATGCTTGTTTACTGTGCACAGTTTTCCTTCCAGATAATTGTGATGCATTAATTTTGCTGTACAACTGTCAGAGTTTAGAACAAATCTTCCTCCTAATAAGGGTACATTAAACGATCCATATTTTACCAACTGCATAGTGCAATAAAAATAATTGCTTATTTGAAGTCCGCAGATAAATGTGCATAATCTGTGTAAAGCAGAGTATCTCTTTAATGTTGCCGAAATTGCTGAGGCCGTGTTTAATAATGCACATTTATTTGGAGGCGCACGCTTGGGTCTTGGAAGTCCATCCATTTTTTTTTTCAACTACTGATGAGTGAAATTTTACAGTGCTCACAGATAGAACTGCAAACAATTTCATTAATAATGAACATACCTGCATTTTCACATTCTCCAGCTCGCGTTATATTGGCATAATTTCAACTAAAACGCTCACATCACGCCAAGATTACTATTAGTAATAGTGGCAAAATTCATAGCAGCTTAGTGCAGTTACCTTCAGTGGTTGCACATACCAATCATTATACCAAAAGCTTTAAGTCGTGTTTTGGTATGTAAGCACTTCACTGTGCGTATCACAGTTAGGTGCTTGATAAAAAAAAAACCTGGTGGTCAGAAGTTCTGGAGGCCCTCAACTACGACATGCCACATAACCATATTGGTGGTTTGGGATGTAAAAAATAAAATCTTTAATGTACGTTTCACAAGTTGAAATGGAGATTAGCTTTTTCATTTTGAAAATGCAGTAACAAAGGCTATCGTGCGAGACAGTATAGCGTCGATTTATTTGATATGCATAAAATACTACTAAAGTCCGCATAACATACTACTAAAGAAGGAAAAAAGAGAAACTTAAGGGCTTGTTATTCCTTATGAGACACAATAATAATGGGAACATAGCAGACATTAATACCCAAGTAAACTATACAGGATGTTATTGGTAGTATAATTTTGATGTAAATGTGAAGAAAATAAAGTGGACGAAAGAGAGAACTTGCTGTCAGTGCGGAATGAACCTGCAGCCTTTGAATGTGTTCGAAAGTTGCATATTCCGCCCCTGTCAGCAGCACATTATCTTTCGTCCACTTTGTTTTCTCCCAATTTACGTCATAATTATACTACTAATAACATCCCTATACTTTCTTGTCATTATTGTCTGTTAGTTCTCGTTCATACTATGATAGAAATTGGTTATTTTTATTGATGAGTATAGGAATGAAATGACTATGAAAGGCTAAATCTAGCTCTGCACTGTAACTGATTTAAAGCTGCTGTTTGTAAGAAATGACCATGTCTTTTTCGCGTCTGCCCCGCTTTCCTGTACGCGATTATCTGCAGCCCGTCATATGTGCCCCTGAGCCCTGTAGATGCTTTCGGCCCCAGCAACGTCTCAGGATAGCCACCCTTTTGTACGTGAGCCACAGGGCATCGTGGCCTGCTAAAGATAC